TCTTACTTTTCTGAAAGTTTGAATTATTTACAAGTGGAAAATTTAAAGAAACATCTTTAGTAGCTATGCAAAAACCTGGAAATTTTGTCTAATTAGTTACTTTTCCATTTCCATTTCCATCCCTTAAAAGTACACTTACGATTTTTTTTCACATATACGTTGATTACAAAAAGGTACTGTCATTGAACAGAATTCTTTTGTTGGGTGTTTTATAATAACTGTATGATCCCCAGTGTGGACACATTGTGCTGTAATTATTTTACTGTATTTGATACATTTATGACTTATAGTTAGCAAAATAGGTTTGATTATTCATATAGATGTAAAATGAAACAAAAAATTTTTTACGAATAAAATTTTTTTACAAATAAAAAGTATGGAAAGATAAAAGTCTTTACATTAGCAGTGTTCTTTCTGGTTATCTTGTTATTTTGATCATAAACCCTTAAGTATCCAGTAGTGTAGTTTAAACCTTTAAAATTGAGTATTTTCTTTTAATTTTTCATCTGTTTTGTACTTCCTTTAATATAATGTTCACTTCACTTAGTTTTATTAAACATCTATTACATGTTTCTGGTTCCACAAAAATACTCCTTTAAAACAGTGAGTCATAGGTCCTGGCATGGTGGCATATGCCTATAATCCCAGCTATTTGGGAGACAAGGCAGAAGGATCCTAAGTTGGAGGCCAGCCTGGCCAACATAGTGAGACTTGTCTCAAAATAAAACTGAAAACCAGGCTGAGAGTGAAGGTTAGTGGCAGAGCACTTGTTTGGCGCACGTGTGACCCTGAGCTCAATCTCCGTATGTGTGCATGTACACATATTAGCCTGATTTTAATATCATTTATCATATACTTAATGTAATTTGAAGGAAATTCAAGAATTAATATCTAATATAGTGTTTATCAAAATGTAGATATTTTTGAGCATTTGCTTGGTTTTGAGCAGAATATTCTAGTGACTTACATTTAATAATTTGCTTCATTCTCATAACCTTATGTGACATACTGCCTCGATTTGAGTCTTTTCAGTTCTGTAAAGGTAAGCTTAGAGCTTGAATTTTCATCAAGGTTTCATTCTTTTTGTCGAATGTAGGCTGTGAGACCTATTGATCTGAAACTTAAGATGGAAAAACTGATCATTTGTATTTACATGAAGGAAGAAAAGTTTGTTGTATTAGAATTTTTTATTTTGGGAATATTTGCTAGTGTCCAGCTTTAAGCTGGACTACACTCTTGTGATCAAATACCAAAACAGTTCTTCAGTAACTGTGCTTAGGAAAGAAGTAAACTTTTCTTGAGCACAACTTTCTGTGCTCAAGTAGGAGGCAGACTAATATAACAATTAACATTACCAAGGCTTTTAATTTACTTGCAGATAAAATAACCAAACAGTTAAAATTTAAAAAATCAATGGCCTTTTAATTAAATTGTAACACAAATGCTATAAAGTGCATACATCCTGAATGTCCCTTTGATGAAGTTTTATGAAGTCAGCATCCCTTTAACTGATGTCAAGAGCAAGATATGGAGCACAGTGTCATGAGTGCCCCATTTATTGCACACCAAAGATAACTTTCACACTTCTATTCTGATTTCATTCACTATATATTAGTATTGTCTGTTTTTGAGTTCTGTGTCTAGCTTTTTATGATCTTGCTTATTATCCATGTTAATACATAAAGCAGAAGTTCATGTTTTTCTTTATTGCTCTGAAATACTTCATTGCATGGAGATAACACAATTTATCCATTCTACTGCTGTGGATTGTGGATTGTCGATTGTTTACAGGTTTTGGCCATTATGAATAACACAACTATAGCCAGGTGTGGTGGCACTCACCCTGTCCCACTATTCTGGGAGACTGAGGCAGGAGGGTCAAAAGATTGAGCCCAACCTAAACAACTTAGTGAGACTTTGTCTCACAATAAAAACTACGAAAAGACTGGGAATATAGGTGTCTGAAAAGGTCATGGGTTCAGGTGCTGGTACTGCAAATAACAAAGCACTGTTGTGAACATTCTTGAATGTGTTATTTGATCTGTACATGTTCCTGTTAGGTAAATGCTTAAGGGTGAAATTTTTGGATCAGACAATGTTTAGCTAGCTATTTTGCCATAGTAGGTTATTATAGCTTTTCAAAGCGATGAAATAATTTACAGTCTCATCAGCAGTGTTCAAAAATTCTCCTTGCTTTACATTCTTACCAACACTTGAAATTATTAGTATTTTTAATTTTAGCTCATATGGTATATATGTAGTGAGAACGTATTCATGGTTCTATGATGATCTGTCACATTTTTATGTACCGTTGGTTGTTTGAATACCTAATGGTTTTAGCACATTTTTACTTTTTATTAGTATACATTTGTAGTACATAATGATTACATTTATCTTGGGAAGTTGCTCCATGTAAATAACACATCTTAATTTTTTTCATCCCCTGCCCTTCCCATCTCTTTATGCTCCTTCCAACTCTTGATCCCCTTTCCTATTTCAAAAGCTCTATTTCATTTTTTCCCTTTCCCTCCCATCACCTTTTGTTTTCCTTTCTGTTTGAAAAATATCTTCCTGCTTCCTATTATTTATCTTTTATTTTGCTCTTTGTGTTTCTCATATAAGAGGAACCTGAGATATTTAAGCTCATGTGTCTGATTTGTTTCAGTTAGTACATGTTATGATCTCAAGGTGTTTCCATTTTGTGACTCAAGTTTTTCCTTTATGGCAGAATAGTATTCCATTGTGTATACTAAATACCGCATTTTCTTTATCCATTAGTTAATGAGCATATAGACCATTTCCAGGATTTTGCATATTTTTCTATTGAATTTCTTATCTGAAGTACCCAAGAAAAAGGTAATTTCAGATGTTTGTTGGGTTATGTATTAAAAATATCTCTTCTGTCGTTTGGGTTGCTGCTTCACGATTTCAGTAGTGTGTATTCACTTCTTTCTCTTAGTAAATAAAGTTCATATTACCAAATAAGTATTTTATGGTTAGTAATTTTTTGTGTTTTAAGAAGTATAACCAGGTATAGGGGCTGGGGATTTAGCTCAGCGGCATAAGCGCTTGCCTTTCAAGCAGGCAGTTGTGAGTTCGATCCCTGGTACTGATAAAAACGAAAAAAGACAAAAAAAAAAAAAAAAAAAGGTATAACCAGGTGTGGCAGTATACACCTGTAATCCCAAGCACTTGAGAAGCTGAGGCAAGAGAATTGCTGTGAGTTTGAATTCCATAGTGGATTCCATAGTGAGACCTTGTCTAAAATTAAAAAAAAAAAAAAAAAAAAAAAAAAAAAAAAAGAGAAAGAGAGAAATCTTTACCCCGAAGCTAAGAAGACATTCTTGTTTCTTTATATAAATGTGATTGTTTTAACCATTACATTTAAAAATGAAATTAAAACATTAACCATTCATTTAGTTCTATATGTAAGATAGGGTTCATGATTCATTTGTTGTTTTCTATATGGAAAGTAAAAAGTTCTAGTATTCTTTATTGAAAAACTATCTTTTCCCTAGTGAAATGCATTAGTACCTTTGTTAATAATTCAGGTAAATTTTTATTTATGATTTCTTTTTGGAATCCTGTTTCACTAGTCTCTGTTGTCCCAGTGCCACACTTTAAAAATTCTTGTAGTTTCATAATATCTTGATAGCCAGTAATTTAAATGTTCCAAGTTTGTTCTTCAAAAAACTGCCTTTATTCTTAATCATTTGAATTCAATTAAAAAAATTTATATTCAACCTGTGGTAGTCTCCCACGTATCACTCCACTTCACCATTAAAGTTTGGGAAGGAACCTTGCTAGTATTTTGACTACCTTAATGTAGAATTTGTAGATCAATTTGGATATATTGGACATATTTCAGTATTGAGACTTTCAGGTCAATAACCAGATCGTGTACTACTAAAAATTTAGGACATTTCTCTCAGAATGTTTTTATTGCTTGGAGGTCTCAATACATGTTCTGTTAACTTTTTAGGATGTGATAATTACATTGTAGATACGTTTTTGAGACACGCACACTAGCCAATTTACAGATGAAATGGTAGTGTTGGGTATTTGCGTCTTAATAATGGGTGAGGAATGCAATAAAGCAGCAAGATTGATCAAGATTGACCAAAAATAGTTGAAAAACTGGGTGATAGATATGTGAGATTAATCATTACTCTTTTAACTTTATGTATTTTTGAAGTTTTCCATAAAAGCAGGTCTTAGAAAATTTAATGAGGCTGGGCATGGTGGTGCATGTCCTTCTGGCCACTTAGGAAAATCAGTTGAGCCCATGAGATTGAGATCAGCTTGGGTGATGTAGCAAAACACCATTTTAAACAAACAGTGAAGATGCCTGGCAAGTGCAAGATCACGAGTTCAATTCACAGTATAAACAAAAACAAAACAAAAATGAAGAAAACTGTAATGTATGTGGTAGAATGAAATGCATAAGTGTATAAGAAACCAAGAATTTGCATTCTTTTTTTAAAAGAAGTATAGGCTTCATTTCATTCTGAAAATAATTGATAGATAAAATTTTAAAGAATCAACTGCTAACTCATCTTTTTCTATGCATGTCATATTCCAAGATTATCAAATAAGGGGGGAACTTTATCTTTAGCAGAAGACAGCTATTAATAAAATTCTAGGAAAGAACAGGCTTAGAAACTCACAGTGCAACTTCCATTAAAATAATGATCTGGCCAGAGATACAGCTCAGTGGCATAATGCCTGCCTGCAAACGAAAGGTCCTGAGTTCAGTACCCACCCCCTCAAAAAAGAGAGATCAATAATTTGTAAAGCTGTTAGAGGAAAAATTGTTGGAAATGGGTAAAATATAATGGAAAAGTCAAAATATAGTAAGCCTGTCTCTTCGTTTAGGACTACAAACTCTGAGTAGAATGCAACAGTCAACAATCTGAAGACTAAAAACAGAAGGAGACAGATTGAAAAAGGAAGTCAGAACTTGAAGAATAACTGTCGTGGTAAGCTTGTAAATTTTTCTTTCCATGGCTCAGCTTTAACAGAATGGTGGCCTGGATTGAGGCACTACACACAGGGTAGAGCAATTGGCAGGAACTCTAAGAGAAACCTTCTATTTCTAGCTAGGGAACAAGAAAAATGACCTCCTTTTTCTGTTACACCTGCCTTGAGACCACTTCTGATTGTAAAATCTCATTGTTATGGTGGCACAGACACAAACTAGAGGGCAAAAATGTTCTTTCTGGCCAAGGGAATTTGGAAAGAACCCCTAGGAAGCTGGAATATAATTTCATAACCCTAGAAGCAACAGAGCCCTAATTGTGTGTCTGAACCCTAAAAGGTGCCGCTTTATCCAAGATACTCATGCTTAGAACAGACCCAGAGAAATATAGTTAACACTTAGTGAACTGAACTACAGTATAAACCATGCCTCAAATCCTAGATGCATCTCTGAGTGATGTATGCAGAGAATGAACCCGAACATTATAAAGGCTTTGAGATCTGAGCTTACATTGAACCACTATCCACAAAAGGCAAGGCAAAATTTATGGTCTAAACTTAATTTAAAAAACAAGATTTTCTAGGTGTTAATAGAACTACACTCTCATACTCTTATACAGAATGTCTAGGATATAACCTGTAATTCCTTGACATACAAAGAAATAGGAAAATCTGACTATTTTTAAAGGGAAAAGGCAATAGACAGATACCCAAATGTGGACCCAAATGTGGAATTAGCAGAAAAAAAATCTTCCAGTAGCTCATCTTTCTGAGATGATATTAAACTTTAAAGGACAGACCTTGAGTTCATGAGATTTGTTCCTAATACTCCAAAATTTTTCTAAAATAGAAATTAGAAATAAAAAGGAATCAAATAGAAATTTAGAACTGAAAAATATAATATATGAGTATAAATTTATTGCATGGACTCAGTAGCAAAATGGAGATGGTAGAGGAAAGGGTCAGTGAACTTAAACATAAATCAGAAGTCTCATCAAATCTTGGTCATCCATATCAAGAAAGAATGTGTATCTGTTCTATAACTCTTGCTAAGTCCACTGTGCACTGTATGAAACGTGGTCACAGGGCTTCTGACTGGCAAATTAATATGGTATCAACATAACATCAGGGTCTTTACAATTAATTCTACTCACATGCTACAAAGATCTCTGTTCAGTTTGAGCAGCTGCCTTCCCACTTCATGGATTAAGGGTCGCGGTTTGTCATTATCCCAACCTTGTCATTGCATGGTAATGAATTAGGAATCAGTCAGTGAAGTACAGTAATAATTACTATCTTATGGACTACATATACTCAAATTTTTTTTTACCTGAAAGTTTCTAAAGTAGGGACAACAGGGTGAATGCAAATGGACAACATGTATAAGTTAGATTGCAAAAACTTACAGTTTAAAAGAAATGAATTTTGTTTTACAAACTAATGTAATGATTATTTTGGTGAAGAAGTGCTTGATGGTGATTGTTTTCTAATTTGTGGTTTAGGGTGGTTACTTGACTAATTTTCAGATGGTTGTGAATTACTTGGCTTACTTGGCTTCGCAGAAGCAACTTGGCAGTTTACCCAAGTTTTAATAAACCAAACAAAGTGTCTGTTTAATGAAAATCGTTACATTGTGAATACTCACAGTCTTGAAAGCAAATATAATTTTGATGGTATTTTCAGTGACTAATTGGATTCACTGATAAGAATATATGTGTAAAAATATTGTTATTATATTTGTGCATATTATTTGCTTGCTGTTGAATGTTTCATAAGGAAGCTGCTTGCCTAGTATTTTTGTAATTCTACTTAATCAAATTCCTAACGGGTTCATGAGTATTTATGACACTAACAAAATTCTATAATTCTTTTTTAGATTGATAAATTTTTTCTCTTACCCTGGAAAGCCATCTCAGAACTTGACACACATTTGGCTTTTTAAAATAATAAGCAATTCTGCAAAATGTATGGTTTAATTAATTTATGTTGAGGTTGATCAACACAATTTAGTCACTTTTGTACCTGGCATAACAAATTTTAAAAAAAAGGAAAATACATTCTTGTACTCTCTTGGACATTAACCAGTTTGTCATTCAGAAGAATACATGAAATAGTGATAAAGTTAAACTTCAGTTGTGGTTGAAGTACAGCCTGAATTATCCACATTATGTTTTCAGTTTCCTTGAAGAAATGTGATACAGATAGTTCACGAGTTAGGGGCTTACTTACATGAAGTTTAGTCTTTTAACTATTAGTAAATCAAATTGTTCTTGGATGTGTCATCTTTCCTCAAAATATTATTGCTTTCACCAAAAACAGATGTTTTGATTTGTGGTTTGTGGTAGCCAGAATAAGGACCCTCTATAAAGATATTTCCGATGCAATTCTCAGAACTGTGACTGTGAGATTACAGAGGAGGAAGAATTGAAGTTGCTAAGTAGCCTTAAAATGAGAGAAGATTATCCTGAGTTATCTTGTGTTTATAATCACAAAGGTCTTTATTAGAGAAGAAAGGAACAGAAAAGACAGCAGCTTGAGAAGGACTGACTTGAAGATGAAGGAGGGACCCATAAGCTGGGAGGAATTTGCGTAGCCTCTAGAAGCTTGAAAAGACAGAAAATATTCTCTACTAGGCCTTTCAGAAAAGAATGCAGCCCTGCCAGTGCCTTGACTTTAGCTCAGTGACTTTGGCCCATAGAACTGTGTTACAGTAAATTTGTAGTTTTAATCCAGTAAGTTTGTGATAACTTATTATAGTAGCCAATGGAAGGTACTAGATAGCATCTCTGCTTAACCTTTCTCTAATAATATGAAATTTATAGTATTTGAATTCTGATTTGAATAACAATTTTTCTGTGATCAATTTTACTTTATTAAGAATGCTTTTATGATTATAATATTTTGGGCACTGATGAACAAAGCCTTTGTCTATGCAGGGATCTTTGTTTTGTACTTCATAGGAGTGGTAAGTAGTTCAGTGTAGCTAGAAAATAGGGGTGTGTCTACAGTGAGTAGAATGGGAAAGGAGGCTAGAAGATAGATTGAAGTTAGAGAAGAAAACAAAACAAATGTCAGACACTCTGGTTTCCCTTCAGCAAATTCATTTTGTGTCATATGTGCCCGTGTTGTAAATACTGTGAATTGGAATTACTAGTTTTTATTCCCTGCACTATTTGAGCTATATTATAGTCATAAACTTGTAAACAATCATTGCATTTTGCCATTGAATGACTCCTGAAATGGCTTTTCTAACTGATAAATGTGCAAAGGACTCAATGGCAAAAAACAAAAAAGGAGTTTAGACAAACATGGAGAAACAATGAAGCTTTTCTGATAGAAAATGTTGGGCAGTTTGACTGGTCATAAACTGTCACTGTATTTGATTTTCCTGACATCTCAAACTCATCTTGCTCCTTTCTGCCTGTACTAGGATGAGAAACCCAAGGGCCCAACAAGGATGAAGCGCCTAGGAGAGGTGTTTTTAGTGTTTTTTTGTCTTCCCTTAAAGAACAAAGAAAGATGACAAAAATACTGTGTTTTTGTCTTTTTACTCTAATAAATCACATACAGTCCCAGTTTATGGGGTTGGGGCAGAGGGCATAAATGCTTGAAAATGAGACTGTGATGGGTGTGTGGTTATTGGTAATGGTGAGTTCTAGGGTAGCAGAAGGAGAGTGGGAATATCAGCAGAATTGGATGGATGATGGGAAGAACACAGAATTGTTGTAAAAGACTTGGGGGAACTAAATGACCAAGGTATTGGGGGAATCATTTTCTATATTGAAATGCTGTACTAACAGAGAACAGGTTTTGAAGAGGGAGTGAGAGGGCTTGTTTTGGGTATTATGTGAATGGCCAAGATGAGGAGATAATTGCTCATACATTCTGGTGGCCTGAAATTCAAAACTGGGATTTCAGGGAGGGGAGAAAGGAAAATAATTGAGAAATGAGAATGACAAAGTCCACCCCTTTCAGGGCCTGTTTATCTGAGCCATGTAAGAGAAAACAACCATTAAGTGAGAGCCAAAGTGTTAAAAGTGAGATTTCAAGTGGTAAAAACAAAACAGAGGAAATAGATGTTACAGAGGACACAGTGAAAGTATTTTGGAAATTAGGCAAAAAAATTGTGGCAGGAGTGAGTGTTGGGATATATAGTGAGTATATGGGATGAGAGTCCAGATGACTTTTGGGGTTCTGACGACTGATATAAAAGGGATGTAGGGCATAATAGAATTTTTTTTAGTGAACTCCTAGGCAGATTTTTGTAAATATCGTGAGAGGTTTGTGAGAAACAGACTTATCAAGAACAGCCAAAGATTTAGGTCTATACTACTGTTTCTGCCATGTAAATCACCACAAACTTAGTGGTTTAAAACAATACAGATTATTGTTTACAGTTTTAAGGCTCAGAAATCCAACAGATGTCTTGCGATGCTAAAATGAAGGTGTTACAGGGCTGCACTCCTTAAGGACTCGTGCATTACATGGGACCCACCTGGTAATCCAGGACAGTCTCACTCTCAGGATCTATGACCTTAATTGCACCTGCAAAGTTCCTTCTTGCTACACAGACTAGTGTAGACACAGGTTCCTTGGATTTAGGGCATGAACCTATTTTAAAGGTCATTCATTTGCATACCACACCGTCCCTCTTTCTTTTTAGTGGTATGTCAGCCCTCTTGGAAGGCCCAAGAGAGATTTTTGTGATGATGTCCCCAGGTTAAAGAATGCACATGTGCAAGATAACAGCAACAACAGAAATAGCATGGAGTAGAGCAGAGCACTAAAGCAGCTAGAGTCTTATTGTATAATTCTTACACAGGTTGTTATCATGTATTTACATTCTTGTATAGTGCTATGACCAGCTCATGCATGTTTTTCCACTGTTGAGTCATGGTTACATAACTGTATCCCACTGTGTGCCTCCACTAGACAGCAAGGTCACATCCTCAGATGTTCTTAGGTGCTCCTGAGCTTTGAAGCAGTTTGAGTGGTTTCTCACCTGATGTTAATATGTAGAGACCAGGATGGTATAGGTCCAGGGTCATACTACGTAGCTCTGAGGGTTGAGTTCTTTCTGAACCTTCAGGGTTTATGTGCAGTGAATCAGAGGCTGAGGACTGATGCATGTCTCAGTGTCATTTCTGAAAAGCAGATAAAGGTACATGTATTCAGAGCCAGAACAGTTTACATGAATAGGGAACTCAAATATTATTTGCAGAAATGTACATAGCTGAAATAGGTTTATGGTGCACTAAGAAAACTTTTAGTTTTGGTTTGTTAAATGAGTGTTTTGAAATAGCTAATGTCTTGATACTGAACTAGTTTTAGTGTTACATGGTATTTGTCTTGGCCAGAATCTTCTCTGGTTCTAAGAAGTCTAGTTCTTAAAACTGGTTTGGGAAGTGACTCTGGTTTTTATAAGTCAATTTGTAATTGAAGTTTGTTGTAGAAACTACTATTGAATCAAGAATGTTTTTAATCTTGCCAGTATTTTACATCACATATGCAAGTATGGCTTCATTTAGTGTCAAATAAAGTGAAAACTATTACCTAATTTCATTTTTTCTCATACATTAGACAAGTAATTTAGAAACATTTGGACTTTTCTTTGCAAGTTAAAATTGTCCTCTTACAAATAATGATCTTCTCTGTTACAAAACAAAGTAATCTGCAGAAGAAAGAATTTTTCAGAAACGGTGGTAAATGTAGTTAATGTAGTAATGTTGTATTTTGTATACCAGTCAGTTAAATTTCAGCACTACTTTTAATTAATGTTGACAGATCCATCAGTCCTCAAAATATCTGATATCAAATTTAATAAACCTAACCTTGAAAGTAGGTTAATGGGTCAATAGGTTTTTAGGTTAAAATAAATTGTAGTTTCAGTCTTTTTAACATAAAGGTCTTGGGTTAACCATTTTAATTAGTGTAAAGAATTAAAAGAAATTAAAAGGGATTTTCCTTTTAAATTATGTGAGCAGTGCACAGGAAAATGATCTCTGTTACATTGTTTTTGTTTTCTAGGATAAACATGTATTTTATCTTTTTAGCTTTCTTACATAGGGTCAGAGCTTTCAGCACTGGACAATTGAACGCAAAAATCAGTATTTAAATTTCTGATTATAAAAGTAATGCATGTTAATTGGAGAAATTTTAGAAACTATTGAAGAAAAAGTAAAAACATACACAAAATAACTCAAGAACAACTACTCGATACTGTGAGCATTTTTAGGTTTTTTTTTTTGTATTTGATACTGTGTATTGAACTCATGGCCTTTGAATTAAGCTACATCCCTAGTCATACACACCTTTTTTTTCTTTTAATTTTGAGACAAGATCTCACTGTGTTGCCCATGCTGGGCTTGCCATCCTCCTGCCTCAGCCTCGCAGAGTGTTGAGTTTACAAGTATGCATCACCATGCCCAGCTAGGTATATATTTTGATGCCTTTGTTATTACAAGTAGACATTTATATTCTTTCTAGTTTTGCTATTTTAAATATTATTGCAATGAGTGTAAGATTTAGAATGTAAAAAAAAAAGATTTAGAATGTATTTCTGGTTATTTCTCAAAAGAAGTACAGGTCGCAGGGCATAAATATTTTCAAGTTACTGATACATCTTACTAAGGTTTTTTTTGTTTGTTTTTCTTTTTATGAGAGAGCAATTCCTTCTGTTCCTGGTTTAGACAATGTTTTCCAGTCATGAAATGGTGTTGAATTTTGTGAAACGTTTTTTCTGTCTCAGGTGAGATCATTGTGTGACTTTGTTTTTTCTGTTAACATGGTATGTCTGTTCATTAATTTTGTATATAGAACCATCATTCTTGCATCCCAGAATGCAAGAGTGGGACAAATCAAGTGGAACAAGTCTTATTTGATCATAGTATATGGTCGTTTTAGTGTGCTATTGAATTTGCTTTCCAGGTTTAAGTGAGAATTTTTCATCAGTATTTATTAGAGATTTTAGATTATGGTGTTCTCCATAGCAGTGATGGTGAACCTATCAGCGCTTTCAATAATATAAACAGCCTGCTGCAGCATATGTTTGCCACCATTGCTCAATTAGATCTGTCTTATTTTCTGTAAGTTTCTTTCATGTTCAGCTTTTTTGGAAAAGTCTAAGGATTGGTATTCATTCACTCAGTGTTTGTTAGTCAGTGAAGCCATCTAGTCCTTGGCTTTTCTTTGTTGAGAAATTTTTGAGTACTGATTCAATATACTTACATGTTAGAGATCTGTTCAGTTTTGTTTCTTCATTGTTTAGTCTTAGTAGGTTATTTATTCGTAGAAATTTATCCATTGCTTCTAGATTATCTAACTCATTGGTGTGTAATTTTTATGCTATTCTTCTATCCTTCCTGTTTTTATGACTTGGATTATAATGTCTCTTTCATTTCTAAAATAACTTGGATCTCTTACCTTTGTTTTTGCTAATTTTGTTGATTTTTTTAAGTGAATTTTATCAATCTTTTTCTCTATTTTTTTGTCCTAATCTTTATTTTTGATTTCCTTCTGCTGACTGTTGGCTTTGTTATTTTTGTAGTTCCTTGAGGAACAAAATTTTAGATTAGTTAAAATCTTTCTTAATTTTTAATGTAAGCATTTATGTCTATGAAATTCCCTTATAGTACTGGTTTTGCTATAGGTCATAAATTTTGGTACATTGTATTTTTGTTTGTCTCAAAATACTTTCTTAATTTTTCTTTGATTTTTCCCTTGACCCTTTGGTTATTGAAGAGCATTGTTTAATTTCAAGTGTTTAATTGCATGAGTTTTCCACTTTTCCTTCTATCTTAGTTGCTATTTTCATTCCATTGCAGTCACAATACTTGGTATGATTTAAGTCATTTTACAAACTTCTTAAAACTTTTTTGTGAACTAACATATAATCTGTCATAGATTATGTTCTCTGTGTACTTAAAAAGAATATGCATCATGCTGCTGTTGGATAGTATGTTCTGTGTATATCTGCTAGGTTTATTTGGTCTGTAATGTTGATTAATTTTCTGCCATCTGTACATTGTTGAAAGATGGGGTGTTGAAATTGCCTATTGTATAGTTGTTTCTTTAGGTCTGTTGACATTTGCTTCTTACGTGTGGGTGTGCGCTGACCTTTAATGTATATATGGTTACAATTGTACCTTTCAAATGAATTGTATATATAATATTCTACTTAGTCTCTTGTGACAAGTTTTGACTTATCCAATATAAGTATACCTTTCATGCTTTCTTTGGTTAGCCATTGATGTGGAATATCTTTTTCTGCTCTTTTACTTTCAGCCTAAAGTGAGTCCCTGATAGGTAGATTATAGCTGGAATTTTAAAAAATCCAGTCAGTCATTCAGTATCTTTTGATTCAGGAGTTTAATCCACTTAACATTTGAATTAGTTGCTGAAAGGGAGTGCGCTGTTTTCTGTCTTGTTGTTCTCTTGTTGCTCTTTTCCTGTCTTCCTTTACATTTTTTGTTTATTGGTATTATTCTTTCCTTCTTTTATATACCCTCATAAATATTTTCTTTGTGGTTAATATGGGTCTTATATAGCAATACCTTGTACCAGTGTATTTTAAGCAGATACCTTCGATTGCATATGAAAACTCTGCTTCTACTCTTCCCCCTATTTTATGTTATTGATGTCACAAATTGCATCCATTTATATCATGTATTTATTAACATTTTTGTGGTTATTTTTTATGTTTTTGTCTTTTTTGGTCCTGGGGATTGAACCCCCAACTTTGTGCTTGCCAGGCAGGCACTTGTGCCTACTAAGCTAAATTCCAACCCTATTTTTATCTTTTAAATTCTGTACTAGGATTCAATGATTTTGTTTATTCATGATTTTAAAGTTATTTCATTTTCTCTCAGAAACAGTTTATAGGATTTATAATTTGTTAGGTGGTTTTGTAACACATCCCTAAATTTTATTTAAAAATTACTTAAATCTTTTTAATAGTAAAATTGTATGTAAGTTGGATAAATCTAACATTATTTTTCTTGTTTAAACAGACTTCTGTTCTGAGATTGATGGTTGGTCATATAGAAGAAGCTCTTGAACTTACATTATTCTGAAAAATCAGTTCAGAAGACCTGAAAGAACAAAAGGTAAAGCTAGGTGTATCTTAAAGGGCACCATAGAATGATATTTTTCCAAAATATTATACAAAACAACCTACGAATTATTTTGATACACTAATTTGAGGAATGTTTTATTTAAAAATTTTCTCTTTTGTGGTAATTTATCCCAAAACATTTATTGTGCAACAGTTAGGTCCAGATACAACTTCAGATAGTCATTATACAGTGGTGAATAACACAGAAGCCAACCCTGCTCTCAGGGTTTTGTTTTTGAGGAAGGCAAATAGTAAACAAATGAGGAACTTGTGATTAGTACTGCATGGGGAATTTAAAGGGATAATGTGGTGGAGCCGGTGACTGCTTTCATTAGGTAATCAGTGAAGGCTCACTGAAAAAGAGTCATTGTATTTGAGAGTAAAGTGTGAAGAAAGTTCTAGACATGTGCAGATCTGACAAAAGAATAAGTCTGTTATTTGCAGTCTACCATGTTTCCCAGCAAGAGAACCAGAGTGATCATGGTATACATCAGGACAGAGAGTAGAGTGGCTGGAATATAGTAAATAATGGAGTAAGTATATTAGCGCATACTAACGTCAGAAGTAGAAGAATGCAAGAGATCTGTTGGTATGCTAAAGACTTGAAGCATCCAGCTGAGGGCCTGGAAGCCACAGCAGGGTCCACACTGGTGCAGCTAAAGGCCTAAAGTCCACAGTTAATTCCTTTATGAGTCCACCTGGATATTCATATTCTTAAATGGCTGTTATACTCAGAATACCTTTAAAACCTGTAAAAATGTCTAAAAGATATTGTGGATATATGAGTGCAGTAGTAAATCTGTTCTAAGATCATGTAGTTGAGCACCACTGATGTAACAGAAGTACTCAGTCAAATTTCTGGATTAAATTGTCTCAGAAGTGTGTATACAGAAATTGAGCATAGCTCTTTCACTTGCCAGTATTAATAATAGATGGAACAGCAGCCAGTATGGTGCGTGGAAAAGCAGGAAAATGTTCTGTCACAGGAACCAAGAGAGATTATATTTAACAAATAGTAGCGATCAGCTATATCACATCTACCAAGAGCTCAAAAACAGAGTAGCCATTAGATATGGCAGCATGAGCGTTTTCTATTATTAACAGTAAAAATTCTCAGTGAAGTGATAGGAATCAAAATCTAATTAAGACCGATGAAGAGTGAGGCACTTGTAGTTAGATACAGCAAACAATACAACTAAATTTCATCTATTTTTTAAAACACCATTAAAGCATTTGACTATAAGTAAAAGGAGTTTGCAAATGATGTAACCTCACAGAGACAAGGAGAATGGGAGCAGAAACCATAATAATAAAATTTTGAAAACTGAAGAGCAAAAGGAAATGTAACTTTCTTTCCTAGAATCTTGAGCCAGTTTTGGGAAAACTGAGAAACTTCTTGGTACTTCTTGGTACCTCTAAAATTTCATGAATGGGAAGCACTCTGCTTCTGAAATTGAGTAATGGTGGCACTAAAACAGAATGACTCCTTACAAATTTATTTAAGAGGTGACTCTTTTTCCTAACTTTGAAACCCTAACTTTGACATCAATTGCTTACTTTGGTATCTTAGCAGAAGTCTGGAGAATTTACTCTTAGAGAAGATTAAGATAACCACAAATAAAGCTGATGATGAATGAGGGTAAACTAGTGAGAATACAGGATTAAGAACCCAGGCTATTTGGTTTTTAAGCTTTTCAGGTGAGGAGGTGAAAAAATTTTCTATAGATTATAATTAGCCTAACAGAAAAGATCTGAACATAATTATGTTGAAAAATCCTTTAAGGGGCTGGGGATTTAGCTCAGCGGCATAAGCACCTGCCTTCCAAGCAGGCAGTCGTGAGTTCGATCCCTGGTTCCGATAAAAAAAAAAAAAAAAAAAAACACGAAAAAAAAAAATTAACACTGTCATGGGTGCTAGGAAAAAAAAGAAAAAGAAAAATCCTTTAAAGAAGTATTCCAACCTGTACCATGGCAGTAAAGTTCTCAGTCAGCATACTTTGTCACTGTTGTAGTTAGAGTTTACAAGGGAAAATATTTAATACAGAACACATAATTTATAAGATTATTTTATAATATTTACCCAAAGAACAAATATAAGAATGTGGGCGATCTGTCCATACTCTATAGAAACCCAGTGAATCCAGCTAAAGGCTTGGATCCCATGGCAATATCCAGCACAAGTGCAGCTGAAGAACTAGAACCCATAACGATATCCCTCCACAAGTGCAACTGGAGGCCTAGAGTCCATGACAATGTCTCATGAAGTCTGTATCAAGGATCTGCACTGGCAAGGCCCAAAGGTCAGTGGTGGAAGCTAGAAAGTTTGTGCCAGCTGGGTGAAGGATCTGTGCCAGCAGATGGAGGATTTGCAGTGGAGCCAGGAAGCAATACCCAAGATAAGGACCAGAACTTCCCCAAACAGAACCAAAGCCATGTCAGCAACAGCAAGGATCCAGTGATAACAGAATTCATATCAGGAAAACCAGTGTGACAGGCTTCTCCTGGAGAATCAATAGCACAGCATCTTCCCCTCCAGTTCTCCTCTTTACGTTGTTGGCAGCAGTCCTCAGATAGACGGTCCAAACTTAGAACCATGTTGGTTCAGTTCAGTTGGGTTACCATTAGTTACATGTTCACCATTAGTCACCACAGTCACAGAGCTTCTGTAATAATCTTTTCGATATTTCCTCCTTAAATACAAGTCTGAGGCTAGAGATCACTAAATATTTGAGGAAAACATCCTCTATGAGAGATGATCAAACTGAAAGAAAAAAAACCAAATTAAGGGAAATGGAGACCTAATAGGTAGAAATTAAATGCAAACCTATCATGTAATGGCTTCAGAAAAGTGAAAAAGGGGAGGTGCTACATCTATGACACATGAAAGACAGACAGAAGTAAAGCTGGAAATGGAAACTGAGTGAATGGGTTAAAAAATGGTATTTCAAAAGTAAAGCAAAAACACAAAACAGGGAGCAAGAAACTAAGAAAATAAGAGGAACTGTAAGACTGCATTCAAATACCAATAATAATTCTATAAAGATAATAGCAGAAGTAAAAGCAAGAAACAAAAAATAGGAAATAATTTAAGAAAACTCCAGAATAAGAAGATACGAGTTCCCAGTTAGAGTTTATTAAGTGATCAATACATATATAAAAACAAATCTTAAAACAGGACACATCACTGTTTTAGAACAAAGTGTAGCATCTAGGGTGACAGAACTGGTAAGTTATATCAAAGAATGCGTCATCAGAAGGGCTTTGGACTTTTGACACCATATTGGAAATGTGAAAACCATGCAGCCTTCAGAATTCTGAAGGAAAAAATTATTTGCAACCCAATGCATTGTAATCAGCTACTCTTACCTAAGGATAGAGACTGGTTGAATGTGATTGTGAGTGGGTGGTGCTAGGGACTGAACCAGGGCCTTGCACAAGCTAGGCAAGCACTTTACCACTGAGCTGTGCCCCTAGTCCTTTTTCTTTTCCATTTTGATACAGGATTTTGCTAAGTTGCTTAGGCTGGCCTCAAATTTTGACATTTCTTGTAGGTCAAAATCTAAAGATTAAAGATATCAGTGACAATTTCAGACTTGTGAGATCTTAAAAAAAAAAAAAAGAAGTATCTGCCATGTCCCCCTTGTCATATTTGAGAAATTACTCAACAAACATAAGAGCTAAACTAAAAAAGCTGAAGCCATGAGAGACAAGACTCAGGGAATGTGTCTTAACTAGAGACCTAGGGGCTTGTCTGGATAATGATGATCCTAAGATGGCAGATAGCTGCAGGTCACGAGCTGTAGTCAGTAACACCCAGACTCTATCGCAACAGCTTACAAGATTCCAAGAGAAGTAGTTTTAAGAAGGTGAAATTCGTACTCTATGTAATGTGTTCAAAGATACAGAGAGATTTAGATAGGGAAAAGTTTGTAGCTAAATTGGTAATATATATACACAAAACTAAACAGTGAAAAAAAAAACATTAACTCTAGGAAATACTGCTTAGAAAGGAAAAGTAAATGTTGTATGTATTGTATACTTTTATGGTTCAACTGTGAATTTTTTTCCAATCATAATGTTAACTCATTATAACAACATGAAAACACAGTATTGGGAAATTGGGAAAGTGTACATATATAAAGAGGATGAAGTGATAAAAACAGTCAAATTTTTATTCTCTTAATGGAATTCAGTAAATGATAGTTAAAAAACAAGATACGTAATTTTTTAAAGGCAAAGAAGAGACTTTTTGTATTACATTAAAAAAAACTTGAAAGAACTGGAACTGTCCAGGCACCTTACCTGGAACTGAATGAATGACTTAAATGAATCAAAAAGTAACAAAGGGTACTACAGCTAAGGGGTTAAATACCAGAAGAAACAAATTAAAGATGATTGAAAGTGAGAAATGGGGTTAGAGAACAAAGGAGTTCTGATTTTTTAGTAAGTCTTATAAAACTGGACTCTTAAAACCTTTTACATGCCTACATAGATGAAAATAACCACTGACTCCTTTTAAAAAGGAGATTAGAAGTAAAACATTGAAATAGCAACTATACACAACTCTGAAAAGAGTTTTCTGGGCAGAGAAAAAAGTAGGGCAGTAGCTGAGGAGGGGTTTGGTAGGTCTAGAGAGGCTTTTTTAAAAAAAATCGGTAAGGGGGATCGAACTCACGACCTCTCACTTGCAAGGCAGGCACTTACAGTACTGAGCTAAATCCCCAGCCCTGAGGCTTTTTTAAAAAAATTTGTTTTATTTTTAAAATAAAGAATACTAAGATGTGTTGATCAAAGTAATTTAAAAAGGAGAAAATGCTGTAGAAGTGGGAAGACTTTGAAGATGGCATTAAATGGGATTCAGAAGACAAGAAGTATAACATTAATAATAGTTTCTTTTTTATTACAGGATTATAGTTGCTCTTGCCTAAAGATGCACTGCCAAACAGTGATATTTCCTAGTTATGTGTAACATTGTATGCTAAATTAAAAGCA